CACCTCGACCTATCCAGATGCTGCCTTCCACGCTCACCTGCCTCCAACCCATTCTCCATTTGGCAGCCAGAGAGATCGTTTCATGAATGCAAAATGAATAAAGATTCTTTCCCACTTAAAACTCTTCAAAGGCTTCCTCTTTGAATTTGAATTAAAAACTCTTACCTTAGTCTACAAGCCCCTGCAGATCTTTTATTTATTTATTTATCAGCCCTCCCCTGATCTATTCTTGGTCACTCCCTCACCACTACCCTGTAGTCACACTGGTCTTCCTCCACTTAATCAAATGTCACTCAAACACGTCTCCACCTCTTAGAAAAGGATGTAATTTTTCCTAATTGTTCTAAGGAGGAATTCATCCCCAACACCTATCCCTTGTTATCATACCCTGTTTATTTCTTCTAAGCACTTAACATTTTAATTTGTAAACATATTTGTCCAAATTTCTCCCAGATGGCCAGTAAGCTCTAGAAGGACTCTAGGACTCTTTTCTTAACAACTGCATTTCTATCTACTAGGCATCACTCAGTAGGGTCTGAGACATGGCAAACATGTGGGAACAACTGAGCACATGTGAGTGAAGACCATGTCACCCACGGGCCCAGCAGGCAGCTGGGGGCTGCTTTCCCAGGGAGCACCTTCCTGCAGCCGGGGCCACTTACTTGCTGACAGGCCACTGCTAGCGCTCATGGAGCGGCCTGGTTCAGGGCGGGATTTGGTGATAGATGGAATACTGACTGAGCCACTGAATACTGTCCGACTTTCCTGAGGCCGAGGATTCTAAAAGCAAAAGTGAAAAAGATATTCTTCAGCTAGAAAGAAACTGATTTTCTGCGAGATGTCTATTTTTCACTATAATTATCAAGCAAAAAAATGATCTTGACCGGAATGACACAGAGGAACAGATTATATAAATCTCTCCTCACCCACAAAAGTAAAACACTAACATAATGTAAATCTCACCCTAATCGAGAATAAGTACTTGAAATATTTATCAGTAAGTAGAATTCTGGAGGGTTGTAAAAACAGTAAGTAAAAGTTACATGATTAGATGTGACAGTGCAGGACAGAATTACATGGACATTTGCAGACTATTGAAACAAAGCTTTTCACTATGTATAACTTTTTTTTTTTTTTTT